TCTTGGGAAGTTCTGTCTTTTTACTCTAAGATTAACTCAAATCTGACTCTTGTAGTATTTAAGATGTCTTTTATAAAATAATAGTGTGTTAGTGTGTGCCAACTGTTGCATACTTTCTTTCATGTTCTTACTTGGCAAAATATAAGTTGGGAACCTTGGATCACTACCAGGGGTTTATACTCCCACTTTATTTAAATAAAAAAAAAGCCTGATGAGAATCCAGAACAGGAAGAATTGTGAGGAATGAGACATTCTGCTTAGAAGTATTCATAACATACCCCAATTAAGGTCCAAGTAGTTTCTGTGGTTATACATCAACAAGTTAATCACATCACCTGGAGTGGGGGGAGGGCTAAGAATAGGATCAGAAAATTGGGGGGGGGGGGTTGGAGTTTTTTTTTTAAGTTTATTTTATTTTTGAGCAAGAGAGAGACAGAGTGCAAGTAGAAGAGGGGGAGAGAGAGGGAGACACAGAATCTGAAGCAGCCTCCAGACTCTGAGCTGTCAGCACAGAATCCATGAACCGTGAGATCATGACCTGAGCCGAAGTAGGATGTTTAACAGACTGAGCCACCCAGTTGTCCCAGGATCAGGCAATTTGTAAAAACAGAAATAGAAATAACTGATGTGAAAATGAAAAAGAATCTTAATAGGACACTAAGAAATGTCAATTTCTTTGAAGTGAGCTTTCATTTCTCACTCATTCCATTGTCCACAACATTTAAAGAGGAACGATTCCCCCTGGTGGCAAGGGAATGTGCAAATGAGCAAACACTGCAAACATTAAGCTACACTGGCTCAGGTTTTCTGGAGAGCATTTGACCATTGGTAACAAAAATCCCCAAAAGCACACAGTCAGAAGCCGGGGTCCAGGGCTAGCTGGCCTGGGTCAGATCCCTAGCGTACGTACCCTTGCTGGCAACCGGACTTAAAGTTCTGTGAAGACCTGCTCTACAATGTACTCATCGTACAATGACTGTAATAGTTGCACCTGACTGCTGTGAGGCTCGACCAGTGAATATTCATAAGCACCTTGGACCAGTGCCTGGTATATAACACAGCTTTCATTATTATGTTGGTCCAGCAACCTCACTTCAAAGTATTTATCCTAAGAAAATCTTAATTAAGTGCACAAAGATGTATATACACATTTGCTTATCACTTCATGATTTATCAAAGGCCAAAAGTGGAAATGGCTGGTTAAATAAATTTTTGCCATCTTTACCTTGTAATACTATGTGACCATTATTATAATTATGTTGATACGTATGTACTGATGTGAGGACATTTATAATCTATTTTCGAGAAGGGAAATCAAGCTAAAGAAGAATAAATATAGTGGAATCCTAGGAAGCAGACATGTATTTTTTTAATCAGTGCATGTATATCTAGATGTCAACGGTGGTTGCCTCTGGATTTGGGGGTTATTCAAATTTATTTTTCTTTTTTTGATTATCTGTGTCTTCCAATTTTTCTAGATCAATCTTATTGTTTGCATAATTTTAAAATAATTTAATATGTTACATATCGTGATGGTTAATCTCAGTCAATTTGACTGAGCTAAGGGATGCTCGAATAGCTGATAAAATAGTCTTTCTGGGCGTGTCTCTCAGGATGTTTCTGGAAAAGATTAGCATTTGAATCAATAGACTGGGTAAAGAGCACCCATCCTCACCAATATGGGTGGGCATCTTCCAAACCACTAAGGACTCAAAGAGAACAAAATGGCAGAGGAAGGATGAGTTAGCTCTCTCTTCTTGAGCTGGAACATCTATCTTCTCCTGCCCTTGAACATCAGAGCTTCTGGTTTGGGGGCCTTCGGACTCCAGGACTGACACCAGCAGCTTTCGTTGTTCTCCAGCCTGAGATGGCAGACCATGGGACTCCTCGGGCTCCATAACCACAGGAGCCAATTACTATCACAAATCCCCCTTTTATATCTGTATCTATACCCATACCCTATTGCCTCTGTTTCTCTGGAGAACACTGGTTAATACACATATGTTCCAAAGTTCTTATAAATCTTGCCAAACATTCTAAAATGTATCTGCAAGTGGGGAGGAATAAACAGCATAGAAATACAAAACCAATATGTTACCCTCCAAAGTAGATAGAAAAACACATTTGGAAACAGAGAACTTAATAGTGAACATTCAGGAACAGAGTCATTCCCACTGGTAATTATCACTAGTGCGCATGTGCACATGCAAACACATATGCACATACATCTATTTCACTTGGGCTTGCCCCTGAAAGCAGAGCCTGAGGCAAGGACTTGGGAACAGGTTAATTTACTTTAGAGGTGCTCTGAAGACGCAGAAGTGAGAGTGAAAAAAATGAGACGGCAGGGAGAAAGGCCAATAAAAGGTGCACTAATAAGTAGTAACGGCTACAAGCAACTGGGATTCAGTCCCATCGGGGCTGAGAAACCATGGAAGAAACCTTGGAATTGTCCCACCCCTGCATGGGAAGGCTGGAACGATTACTCAACAACTACCCTTCCACCTTGGTCGTGGGCTGCCCTGGTGTCAGCTTTCCCTCACTTCAGGGTTGCACCTGCAAAGACTATGCGACCTCCCACAGCATCAGAGACCACCCTGAGGCCAAAAAGCAGAGACCCCCAAGGTGCGTGTGTGATATAGGGGCTGGCATCAGACATATGTCGGGGCTACAGGAGACCAAGACTTGGTTGGGGGGAGACCAGGAGGTGGTGGGGGGAAACCAGGAGGTGGTGGGGAGCACCATAATTTTACATGTCCCTTGCCCAAACCCAGTGACTAGGAAAACATGACTTTGTTGGGAGAATCCTGGGAGGGGGTGAACCCACCGCACTTCACAATCACTGCCCCTTTCCCCCTCACGCACTCACTGGATCATCCACTGCACACGTCCTCAGCTGCTCAAAGGTGTGAGTTACACAAAGGGAGTTCACCCTCCAGCTGGCCAGGGCTGCACTGGCCCCAAGTCCCACATAAGGCCCTTCACAAGCTGTGCTCTGGCCTCGCTGAGCAGCCTGGTACCACAAGCCCCCAAGCCCACCCCGCCCCCAGATGCCCTTTGCCCTCTGCAAAGCCTTTCCTCCTTCGTTTCCCCTGGTTCCTCCCACCAGAACTTCAGGCCTGGCCAGGTAGCAGCACCTGTACCCAGAGGCTAAACATAGACCGGATGGAGGGCAGGGAAGGGCAAGGGACCCAAGGCAGGGGAAGAGATGGATGGAACAAGACTGCCCGCGAGTTGAGCTGATAGCGGTCGAGGCTGGGTGTTGGGGACGTGAACTTTGGGGACACTATTCCTGAAACCTGTAACTCTAGGCGACCCATCGCAGCTGTAGACTAGTAAGTACAGCTGCAACTTTTTACCCAGCCCTCTTGTAGTTTGTCTTTATTTTTTTAACACTTATTTATTACTGAGAGACAGAGAGCATGAGCAGGGGAGAGGCAGACACAGAATTCGAAGCAGGTTCCAGGCTCCAAGCTGTCAGCATGGAGCCCGACACGGGGCTCGAACCCACAAACCGCAAGATCATGACCTGAGCCGAAGTCGGATGCTTAACCGACTGAGCCACCCAGGCGCCCCATTATAGTCTGTCTTTAAATTGCCCTGAGTCTCCTCCTTCAGAGAGCAGTTTCTGGCTTGTCCTCCCGTCTCCCTGTTTGGCTGCCGCTCGCTAAACCCTTCCTTTGCTGCATGCTCGAAGTCTTGATCATCGTCTCTGCTAGGTGGGCGGATGAACTTGGAGTCCTCTATCGGCGAGGTACAGGTATGGGTCTCCCTTCAGGCAAAAACACTGCTGTTCAACTACGAGCAATGAAGTAGGCCGAGAGGGTGCGGACTCCAGGGCCTGGCCGTTTCTGCCCAACAGGGACTCCCTGCTCGGCAGCTCCCAATGGGTTGGTGGAGATGTCAGCCCCAAGCGGCAGTCTGGGCCCCCCCCACTCCCCACCTGCTCCTGCCTCCTGCTCCCTCTGCTCTCACGGTGATGGGACCTGCATTGCTTTCGGAGGGCTCTCCCTGCCGATCCTGCTTCCTCCCACTTCAGCCCAGCAAAGCTCTGGCCCTCCTTACCCCACGTTGGCAACCACATCCCAATGGACCTCACCTGCCACAACACAGGTGCAGGTGCCTTCGCCCCCCTGTGCCCCTGCTGAAGCTCCAAAAATAATGAACGCAAGCAAGTTATAACCATTGTGCTATATTTAAATGTTTCCATATGATAAATTAACACCTTTTACATAAAAAAAAAAAAACAGTGGTTACATATATAACCTAATTTTAGAAACAATGTCCAAGATTAAATTTGTGGTCCTTTGGGCATGAGGCCCCAGCCAGGCGGCCGGCTCTCCCTCCCTGTCTCCCACCCATAAACAAGCACAGCCAGACTTCAGCTCTGGGAGTCTCTCCAAGATCTCCCAAGCCTGCACTGGGTGGCCCTCACTATGCTCCCATGACACCCTAATCTCTGTCACTAGACTACTACCCAGTACTTCTGCCCCACTCACCTCTGCCAACACCCCAGCAAGGTAGGGAGAGCCTGGAGGACCTGGCCCAGAGCAACCACTCAGTAAATGACTTTGGATCAATCACTGAATGACTGACTGAGACATATGTGTCCCTAGAAGGACACCAAGTAAGGCTCCTCTCCACAGCATTCCCACAGACTGACAATACGTCACAAAGATCAAGTGGCTCCTTCAGTCTGGAGTGAACATGGAGGTGGGGGGAGGAAAGGGCTCATTATAACCCTTTCTCAAACCATAGGACTGGGAGCACCCAGCCAGGTGCCCCTGGAGCTCTGAAACAGGACCCCTCCTCACAGGCAAGAGAGGAGAAATTATATCCCCCTTCTGCTCTGTTTATCTCCAGAAAGACCTTCTCTTCCAGAGAAGACCTCTCAGTTACTGGTGAAGACAAGAGTGGCCTAGTAGCCTCTTGTGTTGGGTGGTGGGGGGGGGAGGGCGGAGGGCACCCTGAGCTGGCCCCAGCCAGGTTCTGGGGTGGGATCACCAGCCAGGGACCCTGGGTCGGCCAGGGCTCCAAGGGCTGGTGCCAAACTTCTCCGGCGGCTTTGAGCGAGACAGGGGCTTCAGTTCTTCTCTCTGGCCCAGGTCCTGGGGGAGATCTTCCAAGGAAGAGATCTCCAAGTCAGTCTCATCATCTGAAAGCTGCAGGGAAGTAAGGGGGGAGAAGAAAATGCATTCTGACAAGGGAGGATGAAAATGCTGGACAGACACAGGGACAAAATGCAGGTTTGGAAGAAGCAGTTGGGAGACATTCCTTCTCCTGCTTTTTCATGTTTCCCTGTCTGAAAACCTGCTTCAGAGACCTGGGGTCAGAGTGATTTCAAACGCTCCTGAAGTTCCACTGGCCAAACCAAGGCAAGCTCCTTGGAAAGGCTTACAGCAAATCAGGCTGCTCTTATTTAAACGTTGTCTAGATTTTTCAATCCCCCACATAGATGGAGCTGAACGCCCAGAGCCTTGACTTTCCTGAATGCAGCAGGGGCTAAAGTCCCTCCCCACCTGCCCTCAGATGGCTTCTGCGGGGCTGGTTAATACCCTGACCAAAGGAGCAGGAGGATAGCTCTTGGGGACCAGGAACCGTCAGCCTGGAAAGGGTCTGGGCTGCAGCCAACGCAAGAGCCCGGGGGTACCCCTGAGCCACAGTCACCCCTCAGAGCTCTCAGTGCCCCACCCCCTGGCACTGAGGGCTACCTGGGTTTTGATAGGAACATCCTGTGCATTTTCTCCCAGAACGTAAAGCCAAGCAATCAGAACCACCCCGGGCCCAGGGCAGCAGGCTAAGCCTGCTGTTGGATAGTGACCCTCTTTCCCCAGGGGAAAAGGGGCAAATTTATTTTAATCACCTGGACTAGATACTCACCAATGCACATGGGCTGCATAATAAACCAAGCACATTATGTAATAAGAACATGGTCTCCTGAGAAAGTGATTGCCCACTACTTCAGACCGTTAGGGCAATAGCTCTGGTCATCCCAGGAGGCACCTTTTTGACTGAAAAAGGTGATACAGGAATGTGAAGTAGCGAGAGCTCTAAATGTTTCTGCCCCAGAAAGTAACAGGCACATGGGAGTTACTCCCTGACCGGAAGCAATGAGGAGGGCGTCTGAACGGTAATGTTGGGGAGTCTGAGCATCTGAGCTCTAAGTCTGACAGCAGCTAGAGCCTCAGAGAGGCAAGGCCACCAAGGCATTCTTAGTGATGAGGAATGGCCTGGAATATTGAGAATGAAATATCTAAAGATTCCCATTATATGTTGTCGCCCACTCCAATGCCTGCCCTTGAGGAGAAGTCTGCTCCACGCTCAGCCTGGTGTTGGGGGCCTCGGCTGAGTGAAGGAAGGGGCCGAAGCCCGTGGTGGGGTGAACCAGAGCCAGGAGAGCAGCTACTACCAGCAGCTGGGCACAGAGTCAGGTCCAGGCTGTGTCAGAGGCAGGAAATGGGAGCGTGAGTGACCAGGAGAAGCGACCTATACAAGCAGTTGCTTGTATAATGGACCAAAAGGCTTTTCAATGTCAACAGAGATACAAAAAAAAAAAAAAAAAAAAAAAAAAAAAAAAAAAAAAAAGCATTTGAAAGTGTCCACCCCTCCACCTGGGCAGGGGCAGAGGAGACAGTGAGGTCACCTGTGATGTCCCACTAGGGCCAAGGCTGACACTAGACCCCACCCCAGGCCCCCAAACTCAGAGCTGGCTCTGTGGGAAATGGCAGGGCAACCTCCAAGAGTCCTGCACCCTACCTGGGGCTTCCTTCCTGGCACGGCAGCCTTCTGCGGGCCGGCGCTGGGCATTAAGAACAGATTGACCCCTCCAGCAGGCTTCTTCACTGGAGCCTCCAGCTGTTTCTCAAGGTTTTTGACCAGCGACTGCACCAGGGTTCCTGGAAGGCAACCAGAGGGAGAATTCCAGAGAATGAATGCCTCATCCTGGTAGGTCATGACCAGGGTCTGGAGTGGACAGAGGGAGTGTAGAGAAGGGTCAGGAGGAAGAAGAAAGGGTAACCACAAAGAAGAGTGGCAAAGATAGAGAGAAGGCCCAGGCCAATGGGTGCCAGAAAAAGAAGGCTTTGACCATCCTAATAATATAACTGCACTTAACAACATGGCTGCAGACAGAGGCTTAGAAAGCTGTTCTTCTCTCCAAATGGGAGGCAGAGGCAGAACCTCTGCTCACTTGGTACATGAAAAGCAAGACTAACGTGCAGACACAGCCTCCTTCAACATCTGCACTGAGATGAGAAGAAATATCATAAAAATAAATCATCACAGAAGGACTGAGGGCCGACAGGCTTTCTGCAAACTCCATGCAGGAAGGGGGGCTAAGCAAGGCACAAAGACTATCAACAGACTCCTGGTGACATGGTAAACCATGGCGGATGGCCAGATCTCAAGAATGGCCAGGAAGCAGGGAGCTAACCATGGCCTTGTAGGATTCAACCGTCTGAGGCTCTGAGCAGCCGTCTGGGGCTCCAACAGCCCTTGGTTCAATGACTCATTGGAGAAATGTTTGTTTTCTAAATTCTTTTATGTTTATTTATGTTTGAGAGAGAGAAAAAGAGATGGAACAAAAGCAGGGGAGGGGCAGAGACAGAGAGACACAAAATCCAAAGCAGACTCCAGGTTCTGAGCTGTCATCAGGACAGAGACCAATGCGGGGCTCGAATCCACAAGTGGTGAGATCATGACCTGAGCTGAAGCTGGACGCTTAACAGACTGAGCCACCCAGGGGCCCCTCAAGAAATGTTTGTTAAGGGCCACTATGTACCAGGCACTGTGTTCCTCACTTCTCATTGTCTTGTCTTGATACCTCATTTTATAGAAAAGAAACCAAAACCCCTCACACAAGCGGGTAACAAGTGACAGCACCCAAACTATCAGAGGACTCCTGACTCCCACTTCTAACACCTTTCCATCTTATTGCCCCACCTGGTGGCCATCGGTACTTCTCCAAAGATTTACTTCTGGTGGATTCTGATGGACTGGCAGGCTTGGAATATGCTATGGACAAGATAAAGTTCTGCAGAATCCATTAAGAGCATGGAATTTACAGGTTGTTCAGATATGGGTTTATATTCCAAAGTTTCCACTTGATGACTTTGAAAAGACAAAACTCTTCATTTCCATGTTCTTTAAGCCTTGGCTAGAAAATGCACCTGAAGGGGTGCCTGGGTGGCTCAGTCAGTTAAACATCCGACTTTGGCTCAGGTCATGATCTCGTGGTTCACAAGTTCGAGCCCCACATCACGGTCTGTGCCGACAGCTCAGAACCTGGAGCCTGCTCCGGGATTCTGTGTCTCCCTCTCTCTGCCCCTCACCTGCTCTCTCTCTCTCTCTCTCTCTCTCTCTCTCTCTCTCTCTCCCAAAAATGAATAAACATTAAAAAAAAATTAAGAAAAAGAAAATTCAACTGAAGCCAGAAGCTGCAGGCCTATCCATTAACAGTTTTATAAGAAAATCTTAAAAGAGGGGTGCCTGGTGGCTCAGTCAGTTGAACATCCGACTTTGGATCAGGTCATGATCTCACGATTCATGAGTTCAAACCCCACATTGGGCTCGTTGCTGTCAATGCAAAGCCCACTTCGGATCCTCTGTCTCTCTCTCTCTCTCTCTCTCAAAAATAAATTTAAAAAACATAAAAAGAAAAAAATAAAAGAAAATCTTGAAAGAATGGGAGTTGACTTAGTTGTTTCAGAAGAAAAATGCTCAATTAGTTATTGTAGTACACTGTTAGATAGAAAGTGACAGGTTTAGGGACGCCCGGGTGGCTCAGTCAGTTAAAGCAATGGACTTCGGCTCAGGTCATGATCTCACGGTTCGTGAGTTCAAGCCCCATGTCGGGCTCTGTGCTGACAGCTCAGAGCCTGGAGTCTGCTTCAGATTCTGTGTCTCCCTCTCTCTCTGCCCCTCCCCTGCTCACACTCTGTCTCTCTCTCTCTCTCTCTCTCAAAAATAAATAAATATTTTTTAAAAATCTTAAAGAAAGTGACAAGTTTAATGGATATATTCATTCCAGTTAATCATAACATTTAACTCAAATTTCTATGATGTCTTTTCATCAAGTGAAATTGCTAAATCTCTTTGCTGAAAAGGGCAAAGAACTTTCCTGTAAAAATGCCACTATGTCCCTAAGACCATTGGTGGCAATGAGTCAGCCTGCTGTGAAGGTTCACTGTGACCTTCTGAAGCTGTCACCCTCCATCTTAAGGTTAGCTGGAAAAACCACACTTTTCATTACTCTTTTGTTACAAAAACTTTCTTTGTGTGAGACTGCATGTGTTACAACCAACTATATCTCTCAAAATGTTCATTGTAACCTAGGTTTGCCCTGGAGGCTACTTTTACTGCAGTGATAGTTGACTGGGTAACCACAACCCCTTGATCTGGTACTAATGAACTCAAGAAGCATAAAAGACTGTGTGGATATTCTCAAAATTAGGAAAATGGCTGAAGGCAGTTCTTTCTGGGAAAAATTTATTTTTCAAGTAAAAAAAAAATGCCACCAACACATTAACTTCAAAAACATAATACAGAATCTGTTTTTCACGTTATTAGTTCTGCGACCTTGAACAAGTAACATAAGGTGTCAGAGACTTAGTTTGGACATCAGTGACAATGTGTGTGGCACACGTCACCTCATGCGTGGTATGAAGGCATTCCTCCTCTACCAGGTTGGGCAAGCAGAGCATGGACACCCTCTCAGCGCCCCCCACACTTTCTTACCTCTCCTATCCACTGGAGTAGCCAAGCAGAGGGACTGCAACATCCCCTGGGCCATGTTTCTTTTTCTGATATGCTCCCTGCACCTGTGACTGCGTCTGGAGGCCAGCTGGACTGTCCCCACAGCGGCATACTTCAGCCCTCTCTGCGGTTTTGCTGACCCCACCCCATATAGCCACAAGTACGGTGAGAATCTGGGTTGGGGAGGCTGGAGGGGGTCCCCACATTGGCCTCAGGAGCCAATCAGGCTCTGAGAGGAAGCCTATGCCTTAGCATTACTAGGCACTATCTCCAGTAATAGAACAACACTTTAATCTCCATTTGTCTGGCCACCATGTTCATTCTCTAACGGTAAGGATGTGGAGGACAAAAGGAGTGAGCTCCTCCAACTCCACCAGTTAGGCAATTCAATGACAAAACAAGGGGCAAAATAAACCTCACTCAGATTCTATCCTTCTTCTACTGTCTCTGCGACCACAGGAAAATACCTGATGGGAGGGACAGTCATTCTCTCCAAGTCACAATGAGTTGCCAAATCAGAGAACCCAAAGAAAAAGAGTGTTTCCAGGACTAGAGAAATCTGGGCTGGAGAAGGGCTACCTCAGTGGTCCCAGATCACTCACCTGAGGAAGCCAGCCCACCTGAGCCTTTTTCAGGGGGCTGGGCACTCCCCTCCGACGTCTCTGTGTCAGACCAGTCCCAGTTGTCCTCTGGCCGGGGCCCCATCCTGGAAGGACCTCGTGGGGGCTGGAGAGATGTCCGCTGCACGGAATTTCCCTCTGAGTCCTCTTCAGAACTGAATGGGGGTGTACTGTCATGGACAAGAAGAAATGAGGGCTACGTGGGCCAGAAAAGCTTTGGAAGCCAAACCTCACCACTTGCAAACGTGTCTGATTTGCCCCAAGTCAGCCCTGCTCCTTCCTTGGGCCCAGATGATAGCCAGGAGTCACTCTGGAGCATAGCAGCCACACCAGCAACTCTGTGAGAAGATGAGGACCCAGCCTTTCCGGCGTGGCAACTAAGGCTTTTAAGGAAGAGATGGGGAAGGTAGGGGTGGGTTTGTCCTGGCCAGGAGCAAAGGACCCCAGTCTCTTCGTGAGGTCTCGGGATGGACCCCAACTGAGGCTTCTCCTGTTCACTTCTGTCTCTGCCCCTCACCTGTCTGCAGAAGCCTGCGGGAAGCCCAGATCAGGGCTGCCTGAGGCTGGGAGCCACTGCCAAGACCCAGGGGGAGTGCGGAGTCCGGGGCTCACCTCGGCCCGGGCCCTGAGGAAGCAGAGGTGCCGGAGGGTCCACGTGCTCTGGGGCGCGGAGTAGGGGTGGGCACGGGAGCCAGGCCAGGACCGTGGCTGCTGCGGCTCTGAAGAGTTGTCGTGGGTGGCTCTGCTGGCTTAGATGGCAATGCCACATGCAGCGTCCTGGACTTTGGCTGGGCCTCTTTGATGGCCAGTGGGTTCTGCTGGCTTTTGACTAGAAACACAGATGGGAATAAGTTCCAAGGCATGAGCATCTGGAGCTTCAAGCCCGAAGAGGACGTAGAGACAGGCTCCAGCACACTACAAATGGACAAGTCAGTCTGTCGCAGCGTACTATGATAACCAGCGCAAATATGACCACCGCCCCCACCGCAGGAGTCCTGCTGCTGGCCAGACTCAGGGCTGGGACCCACAGTTCGAGCACAGACCAGGAGAGCAGCTGGTCTTCCAGGGTCATGCCATCATTCCAGGAGTCCCACAGGAGTCGGCAGGTCTGAAGTGGGGCCCGTGGGGCACCTGGGTGGCTCAGTGAGTTGAGCATACAACTTTGGTCAGGTCATGATCTAATGGTTCGTGGGTTCAAGCCCCACATGGGGCTCAGTGCTGGCAGTGCAGAGCCTGCTTGGGATTCTCACTCTCTCCTCTCTCTCTCTGCCCCTCCCCTGCTCTCGCACTCTCTTTCTCTGTCTCAAAACAAATAAAGAAACTTAACCAAAAAAATGAAGAGGGGCCCAGCTTGTCAGCAGCTTAACCCTCCCCGTGTAGTGCTAGGGGCTGACCTCGCCAAGAGCACCCATCCTCTCTACCCACCCAGGCTGCAGCCGCTGGAGTGCAGACAACATTGCAGGGAGACCCTGCTGCCACCAGAGGTCGCAACAGGACCACATGGGCCACCCAGACCCACTAAATCCTCCCGGAACTCAGTCCTTTAAAGGCAAGCACTCAGGTTCCTCAGAAAATTAAGAATAGACCTACCCTATGACCCAGCAATAGCACTGCTAGGAATTTACCCAAGGGATACAGGAGTACTGATGCACAGGGGCACTTGTACCCCAATGTTTATAGCAGCAGTCTCAACAATAGCCAAATTATGGAAAGAGCCTAAATGTCCATGAAC